CATTGATGTCTTTGTGTTTATAATATAAACATTAGGAGTTTTTACTATCCATTACATTTTTAGAAAACAGTATTTTAAAATGTTATAGATATTCAAGATGGAAAGAGCATGAGCTTTAGAGTCTTCGAAGACATGAATTTGAATTCATGTGAAATGAATTCTCCAGTTTTATTAATCACTGGCTTTTGGGGAGTTAACCCAACCCCGCATGCCTCAGTCTCTTCATCTGTAAAACTTACGGCATAGGAATAAGCAAGAAGCCTTTAGCACAGCGCCACCCACAGGAGAGTGAGTGCTTGGCAGACGGTGACCATTATTGATGCTGTTTGTTCTGTTAAAAACATGGATTCATCCTTTTCCTTCACTTTGAATTCTACCCAGTCCAGTGACAACTTTCTTCTCGCCACTTACCGGTGCCAGGCAAATACCACAAGGCTGGAGCTCAAGGTAAAATGTTTGAAGTTACCTTTACTTGAAAGTCTGAACTTTGTTTTCTTATATCAGTATATTTTACAACATAAGATATAATTTCTTTGCATTAAATTTCTCCCTAAAATGAGTCATTTTTGAGTAACTTTTGAATAATCTCTTAGGCTTTAATTCAGCCCAGACCACGCTCTCTGCTGGTATCACTTAACCAAGCAACTTCTCTGAAATTCCCAGTTCTTCATTTCCTCCCACTGGACATTTGTTTTCTAATTTTCTCTTACGGAAAATTTCAAACATGTGATCGTGAGGACTCCAGCCCGCCCGGTGTCCACTCACAGTAGTCTTGTTTATCCTCTCATTCTCCATTGCAAATCATTTTGAAGCAAATATTTTGAAGGATATTTTATCATTTCACTTGTAAATAAATGTTTTGGTACATGTGTTTAAAAGATAACTCTTATTTTAAAAACATAACCACAAGCCCTAGCTGGTTTGGCTCAGTGGATAGAGCATCAGCCTGCGGACTGAAGGTCCCATGTTCAGTTCCGGTCAAGGGCACATACCCAGGTTGTGGGTGTGATCCCCAGTGGGGGGCGTGCAGGAGGCAGCTGATCAATGATTCTCTCTCATCATTGATGTTTCTGTCTCTCCTCTCTTCCTCTCTGAAATCAATAAAAATATTTTTTAAAAAAAAAACATATAACATAAGAAAAATTAACAGTAATTCCTAGATGTCATCAAATATTTACTGTTCAGATTTCACTAACTTCTTCTTAATCCTCACCTGAGGCTGTGTTTTATAGATTTTAGAGAGGGGAAGGGAGAGAGAGAAACATCGATCTGTTACCTCCCATATGAGCTCTGACTGGTGCTTGAACCGGCACCCTAGGTATGTGCCCTAACCGGGAATCGAATTGGAGTCTTTCGGTGCACAGGACGATGCAACCAACTGAGCCACCCAGCTGGGATGATTTTTGTTCCCAAGGATTTTTTTCATGGATTTTTTTAGAGAGAATGGAAGGGAGGGGGAGAGACAGAGAGAGAAACATTGATGTGAGAGATATCAGTGGTTACCTCCCACATGTGCCCCGACCAGGGCCGAGGGCCAAGCCTGCACCCGAGTTACATGCCCTTGACCAGAATCACAACCACGGCCCTTCAGTCCACAGGCTCTACCACTGAACCACACTGGCCAGGTCAGGTCATTTGGTTGTTGACGTATCTATATTTTCCTACTACCTGGACTTTTCTGGTTCCATTCCAGTGATATCATTTGTTACTATTTATTCTAGAGAAAATCTTTTAAAGTATTTTAGCAACATAATTACTTCTATAATTAAATATTGATTTTAGCACATAAATCTGTTTTGGTTATTTAATTTGTAATGTGAGATTAATTTTTTTATTTTTGATACACTTATGATCTAAACATTAAGGAGAACAATAATGTTTTTCTGGTATTGCTGATCTTCTGAGTGTTTTTTTCAAGAGAGATGCTGCTACACAATTTTTTTACATAGAGTTAAGGAAGTTTCAGTTAAATGAAATTTTTTTCTAAACAATTTATTTTAGTCTACATTAAGTCCCCTTTCATGTATTTCAAAAGAAAAGTTAACTGGAATAAGTTTATTACTAAAGGAATATACTTAAGCATATTTTATGTGACCTAATTAAACATTTTAAGTTACATTTTTACTGAGCAAGATGGTGCCAATTCATTTGGAAGCAGGCCTGAAAATATTAAAAAGCTATGTTCTTTTTTTTAATTGGGTACAAACGTTTTTGTAGTTCAGAGAAAAGAATAAGTGCCTGAAAGAGCCAAGAGAACTATGAAAAAGAAGAAAAGGTGGGACTTATCTTGCCGTGGGGTAAAACATACTATGTGACTGTGATGAGACAGACGCCTGCTGTTGTAGGGTATTTATAAGGCCTAAATAAATAGACCATCCAACAAAATACTCTGTAGGAATAGACCCAGCACACATTTATGGGAATGCAACGTGTGGCATTTGTATGTAGAGAAAGATTCACTAAGTTACTATTTCTTTTTAAAAATAGGTGTTGGCACAACTAGCATTCATCTGGAAGAAAATTAAGCAGCTACTTATGTCATATATAAAAATATTTAGATGAATTAAGTACCTAGTTATTTAAAAAAGGAAATTTACTTGTCTTCCAGATAATGGGTGAATATCAATAAAATATAAAGACTACCTGTAAGTTGTTATAAAAAGACTACCCAGCCCTGGCCGGTGTGGCTCAGTGGATAGAGTGTTGGCCGGCAGACTAAAGGGTCCCAGGTTCGATTCCGGTCAAGGGCACGTACCTCGGTTGCAGGCTCCTCCCCGGCCCAGGCCTTGGTTGGGGCAAGTGCAGGTGGCAACCAATCGGTGTGTTTCTCTCACATCGATGTTTCTCTCTGTCTCTCCCTCTCTCTTCCACTCTATAAAAAAAAAAAATCAATGGAAAAATATCCTTGGGTGAGGATTAAAAAAAAGACAAAACTACCCAGCCCAGCTGATGTGGGCATTCGACCTGTGAGCCAGGAGATCACGCTCTATTCCCAGTCAGGGCTGGATCCCCAGTGGGGGGCGTGCAGGAGGCAGCCGATCCATGATTCTCTCTCATCATTGATGTTTCTCTCTCGCTCCCTCTCCTTTTCTCTCTGAAATCAATAAAAATACATATATTTTAAAAAACTACCGAATAAGGAAAATAGGCAAAGGATATGGATAGTCAATTCACAGAAGAGGGATCAAAATGTTCTACCTCATTATTAGGGAAATTCAAATTAAAATAACCAAAAAACAGTTTCTGCTGCTCTGACAGGTTGGCAAAAAATTGTACAGAGCGACATCACCCGGTGGCAGGGAGGAGGAAAGGGCACTCAGTCCTAGCTGGAGGGAATGACAAGTGTCACAGTCCCTCATTTGGAGGAATCGGTTTCACAGCAATAGGATCACAGTGTTGTACGCACGGAAGTGTGACTGCAGCATTGTTTGTAGAGGCAGAAAAGTGGAACCAAAGTGGACACTCGATAATTTAATGGTGGGTTAAATAGCTGCTTTCATTCCAAAGAATAGTACACAGCTGCGATAAAGAGTGTGTCGATGCATTCCTGGTAACGTGGAGCACATTCCTGAAAAACACATACTGCAGATGAAACCTCTGTGTATGTATGTGTTTATTTATAACTAGAGGCCTGATGCACAAAAATTCGTGCAAGAATGGGCCTTCCTTCCCCGGGCTGCCGGCACTGCCTTCACTCCGACCGGAGCCGCCTTTCTGCCTTCCCACGCTGCCCAGAGGCCCAGAGCAGCTGGGGCGGTGCGGAACACCTGCGCCCCGCCCTGCCCCCGACCGCTCGGCGCCTGTGTATGCAAATTATTCCGCCATCTTTGTTGGGTTAATTTGCATACTCACTCCTGATTGGCTGGTGGGTGTCATGAAGGTACAGTCAATTTGCATCTTTCACATTTATTAGTGTGGATGACATAGATATGAAGAACGGTGTGTAAGAAACTCACCTGTCTTTTTATTTTTCGCTAAAAGTATTACAAAGGGTATTACATAAGTGTCCTTTTTTCCCCCCCGCCCTTGACAAACCCCTGCCCTCCTCTACCCCCCAGTGTCTTATGTCCATTAGTTATGGTTATAGGGATGCATACAAGTCCTTGGGTTGATCTCTTACTCCCCTCCCTCCTGTCCCCCAACCCTCTCTGGCCTTCCCCCACTGCAGTTTGACAATCAGTTTGAGGCAGCTCTGCCTCTATATCTATTATTGTTCAAAAGTTTGTAATGGTCTTAATTATCCATGAAAGAGTGAGATCATGTGGTATTTTTCCTTCATTGACTGGCTTGTTTCACTTAGCATAATGCTCTCCAGTTCCATCCATGCTGTTGCAAATGGTAAGAGTTCCTTCTTTTTAACAGCAGCGTAGTATTCCATCGTGTAGATATACCACAGTTTTCTAATCCATTCATCTACTGATGGGCACTTAGGCTGTTTCCTGATCTTAGCTATGGTGAATTGTGCTGCTATGAACTTAGGGGTGCATATATCTTTTCTGATTGGTGTTTCTGGTTTCTTGGGATATATTCCTAGAAGTGGGATCACAGGGTCAAATGGGAGTTCCATTTCCAATTTTTTGAGGAAACTCCATACTGTCTTCCATAGTGGCTGCACCAGTCTGCATTCCCACCAGCAGAGAAACTCACCTGTCTTGTTTGACATCAGTAGGAGGGGAGTGACAGGGAGGTGAAGACGGTATGAGGACAGGCAGCAATAAGGGGAAAATGTGATTGTTAAAAGTAAAAACAAAGATATTTATGCTATAAATAGAATTTATGTGAAATTATATATTTGTTTTTGTACATCTATATAGAGAGATATGAAAGGATGGCTACCAAGATAGCAATAATGATCATCTTTCTTGATCATTAGAATATTTAAAATAAGGAATATGAATTATGTAACCAGAGAAAGAATTATGACCTCTTATTGTGGAAAAGTTAGGTGCAGCTTCCTCTGTAAGATTATGTGTAAGCGTAACCTTCATAAAGAAACGCTGGTGCTCGCTTCAGCAGCACATACGCTAAAATGGGAACGTACAGAAAAGATTAGCGTGGCCCCTGCGCAAGGATGACATGCAGATTTGTGAATTGTTCCAGATTAAAAAAAGAAACCCTAAAATATAGCTTTATCATAATTTTTACTTTCTTTATTCTTCAGTATTTCTTTTCCTTTTATCTTTCCTGTCTTCCCAATATTTGTAGTGTAACGTTTGCAAAAAATCTTGCTTTAAACTTGTATTTATTTTTCCCATTCAGGGAAAACATTGATTTTTCCCCCCTCCCCCTCACATTCCAGGAAAAGTGTGAGTTAAATATCAGATTAGAGAAGCCACCTTTGTAATACAAGAGGGAGTACCACCCCTGGCATGGATTTCAGCCTAGAGGAGCTGAGGGGCGGGAGGGAGAACTGGGCAGCTCTCCACCTCTTCTGAGCTGAGGTCTTAGTTCACTGAATCACGGTCTTCTGTTAACCGGTTTTGAATTCCCAGGATAGCCCACCAGCCATATTCAAAATAGCTCAAAAGAATTTCCTAATCTAAATATGTCATAATAGATTATGAGTCTGCTTCTACTTATAGAAAGTCAAGAGTTAAGTTCTTGGCAACATTTTCTGTCAGTAGATTTTTAAAAATATATATTTTTATTGATTTCAGAGAGGAAGGGAAAGTTAAAAACATCAATGATGAGAGAGAATCATGATTGGCTGCCTCCTGCACGCCCCCTTCTAGGCATGTGCCCTTGACCGAAATCAAACCTGGGACCCTTCAGTCTGCAGGCCGACGCTCTATCCACAGAGCCAAACCAGCTAGGGCTGTCTGTAGATTTTTATAACAGCAGCTTTATGCTATAGTACCCCCATTTCTGAGAAAATGAAATATTCCATATAAGTTTTCGTTATTTGAAAAACTCACTTATCCCTTCAACAAAAATGTCTAAATTCTAACCATTTTTATGTGAATCTTATAAAATATAGTATATGGTGTTTTTTGTTTTGTTCTGTTTTAATATATTTTTATTGACTTCAGAGTGGAATGGAGAGGGAGAGAGAGATAGAAACATCAATGATGAGAGAGAATCATTGATTAGCTGCCTCTCGCTGGGGATCAAGCCCGAAACCAAATGTGCCCTTGACTGGAATCAAACCCGGGACCCTTCAGTCCACGTGCTGATGCTCTCTCCACGGAGCCAAACCGACTAGGGCTATAGGACAGTGTTTTTAAATGTGTTAGGGTAGTATATGGCAATGTATGTTTTTTGGAATGGTATAGACCTTTTGAGCTCGGCGTGTCAGCATTTTGAAAAACCCTAACTTAACTCTGGTGCCGTGTCACATAGAGAAATTTTTTGATATTTGCAACCATAGTAAAACAAAGATTTATATTTTTGATATTTATTTTATATATTTAAATGCCATTTAACAAAGAAAAATCAACCAAAAAAATGAGTTCGCGTGTCACCTCTGACACGCGTGTCAGAGGTTTGCCATCACTGGTCTAGACAGATGACCTGAAGACGTGTGGTGGGAACAGCTTCAATAGGTGGGTTAATTTTGCTTTCCCCTACCAAAACCTTGCTTTACTCTAGTGATAAAAAGTAGCTGTTTAATAGAATATCATTATTTTCTTCAAAATATTACAGAAGAGATGAAGGCCTACGTGCCTGAGTACTTGTGTTGACCATTCTAAAGATAATGCTTACATTGCTGGGTTAGTCTTACTTTCTTTCCTCTTCTGTGTTGAATCAGATTCGCTCCATTGAAGGCCAGTATGGCACGCTTCAGGCATACGTGACTCCAAGAATCCAGCCCAGAACCTGTCAGGTCCGCCAGTACCTTATCAAACCCCTTTCACTCCATCAGAGAAGCCACTGTATCGATCGTGACAGGTAGGACCAAGGCAGGAGTGTTTACTTTTAGGGCATTACATAGTGCAGAGAAACTTGCCTATAATTTTTTAAAAATGTGTTTGTATTGATGTTTTGGAGAGAAAGGAAGGGAGAGAGAGACAGAAGGAAGGAGAGAGAGAGAGAGATCAATGTGAGAGAGCAACATCCATCTTTTACCTCCCGCACGCGCCCAACCAGGGATTGAACGTGCAACCTGGGTGTGTGCCCTGAACTGGGAATCGAACTGGTGACCTATCTGTGCATGGGACAGCGCTCAACCAACTGAGCCACACTGGCCAGGGCAGCTTGCCTTTCATCGTCACGGTGTAAGTTCTGGTAGATACGTGTCCATTTCACTGAAAGGCTGTGGAGTGGTATTCCTACCGATGTAGGCCTGTGTCTGCTGTCGGGGGCTGCCTGGAGCTGCACTTCCCCTTTCGCTTGGACCCGTCCCGCGATCAGCAGTCACCGTTTCGCTTTAGCGTTTCCTGTGAACAGGCCCTTGGTGCGTTGGCCTCAAATATTCTATTTCCTCTGTTCCACCTCAGGAAATACTCGAGCCATTGACTGCGGTAATCGGCTATTTCCCACTTCCCCTATAGCTTAAGCATCCTCCTGTTGGTAGTTTTTCACTTCCTGAAGGTGAGAGACAGGGCTTAAACGAGGGAGAAGGGGAAGAAATGGGTCATTGAATACTTCCCTGTGCCTTGCATTGTGCTAGGGCCTTAGGTATCGTTCAAGTCGTGCAGCAAGTCAGGTGGCAATGTCCCCATTTTACAAATGAGACCGGGAAGCCTGGGGAGGAAGTAACTTGCTGACATAAGAAACAGCTAAAATGTGAGACCGCAGCCCGTTTTCCTATTGCAGCTTGTAATGGTACTGAAGAGTCCCGGGTTCGATTCCGGTCAAGGGCATGTACCTGGGTTGCGGGCACATCCCCAGTGGGAGATGTGCAGGAGGCAGCTGATCGATGTTTCTCTCTCATCGATGTTTCTAACTCTCTATCTCTCTCCCTTCCTCTCTGTAAAAAATCAATAAAATATAATCTTGCCTCTGTTCTTGTGTGACTGTGGGGACATAACCTAATCTCTCTGGGCTTTAGTTTTCTTATCTGCAAATGAGACGGTGGCCTGGATGACCTCAAAATCTCTTCTAGTTTTAGGTCCCTTAATTCTGTGTCTTTTTAGAATTCCTCTGAGCCTTTAATTCCACAAATTTACATTTTTAAAATCTTTATAATTATCCACTTGATTTATTTAAAATCTGTTTCACTCCCTTGTATGTGTGTGCGATTTCACAAGATAGAACAAATCATTCCACATCCCTGCAAGATGGAGGTACTGAGCCCTCCTGGCCCCGTGGCCCGCAGCCGGTAAGCCGTGGAGTGGGTTTCAAGCCCTTGTCCGTCTTCCTCAGAAGCCCAGTCCTGTGCTGTCACATGACCTCATTATTTCTCTAAGGAGATTCTTATATGTTTTGATAGTTTGTACAGTAGGAGTATTAGGTGAACTTTTAAAAAATGAAATATGCCTGGGTAAACTGGATTTCATTTGTAAAGATCTTATAATAAAAACAAGCTATTTGTGTCCCCTGGCTGGGAAAAGCAGAGGTATAGATACTCTTTCTCTCTTTCATGAAATCAGAATGTTCATTCATCGGATGGGTAAGATTAATCTGAGAAAAATTAAACAAATGTAAACAAGTTTATATTTGGTTAGCTGTTATTGCATAATTCTGTTTGTTAATGTGTTGTGTACATCAAATACACTTCCACACGCAAAGGTGTCCTCTGCTGTGAATTACAGACCCATGAACACGCTGACTTTAACGGGCCAGTTCAGTTTTGCGGAAGTTCACTCCTGGGTGGTGTTTTGCCTTCCTGAGGTTCCCGAGAAACCTCCGGCCGGAGAATGCGTGACATTTTACTTCCAGAACACCTTTCTGGACACACAGCTGGAAAGCACCTACAGGTAAAGCAGCTCGTTACCAGTTCACAAGTGTGTGGGGTGTTTTAAGTGTGTTTTTTTAATTGATTTTTAGAGAGAGAGGAAGGGAGAGGGAGAGAGAGAAACATCAATAATGAGAAAGAATCATCGATTGGCTGCCTCCTGCACGCCCCCTACTGGGGATCGAGCCAGAAACCCAGGCCTGTGCCCTGACCAGGAGTAGAACCAGTGGCCTCTTGGTGCGTGGATCCACACTCAGCCACTGAGCTAAGCCAGCCAGGCCACAGGGGTTTTGATATAAATGAGCTTCTACACTTTCTTTGTTTTAAAGCAGGAACAATTTGTAAATAATAGATTTGAAACCTGTACTATTCAAGAGAATCTATTGAAAAACAAGCAGAATTAATGAATTTTTAAAAATGATTGAATGAAGATTCACATGGCCTGGACCAGCAGCTCGGTTGGTTAGAGTGTTGCCCTGTGACTCCAACGTTGCGAGTTTGATCCCTGGTCAGGGCACATGCAAGAGTCAACCAGTGAACGCAGAAACGAGTGGAACGACAAACCGATATTTCTCTTCCTCACTCCCTTCCTCTCTCTTTGAAATGAATAAATACATAAATTAAATTTAAAAAAAAGAAATAGCTCTAGCCGGTTTGGCTCAGTGGATAGAGTGTCGGCTGCGGACTGAAGGGTCCCAGGTTCCATTCCGATCAAGGGCATGTACCTTGGTTTCAGGCACATCCCCAGTGGGGAGTGTGCAGGAGGCAGCTGATGCATGTTTCTAACTCTCTTTCCCTCTCCCTTCCTCTCTGTAAAAAATCAATAAAATATATTTTAAAAAAAAGAAATATGCAGAAGTTACTTGATGAAACTTTGAAATGTTATTGACATAAAAGACTTGATTCAATGGGGTAATTAATAGACTGCATAGTGCTCAATAGGAAGACACTGTAACTGTGACAGTCCTTCCCAAATGTATGCAAAAGACGAAATGGCTCAGAACTTGGCAGCTGAGAACATGAGGCTTTTGAAGCCGGGGTGTCAGGAGGGGCGGTGGCTGGCTGCACGCCTTGCCTTCCCTCCCGCTCCTCTGCGGGGCTCCCTCAGGGCCTGGTTGTGAGCACAGAGCTGACCCTCCGCTCCTTCGATCCTCTGCTGAGTGTGAGATGGCTGCCTTCTCTCAGGGGATTTCTCCCTGTGCTCTGAGCCTCACCCCCCACTCAGGTCTTTGCATTCTCATCCCACTTCAGCTGTAGCTGTTCTTTGTTT